ATGCTGACGTCTGGAAGATATCACGAGATATGAACAGTGGTCATTGTCAAGGTGATACAGAAATAATTAGTCCATGACAAACTCCAAAGATGTTTGTTTGACAAAGGCACCATTTGCAACTTTAACTATTACAGAAAGGGCAGATTRGTAGCACATTTCAAAAGTATACCCACTGTAAAGCTTTGCAGAATGACTCATCACTGTGCAAATAAATGCTTACTTGTGTTAATCTGTGACATATTAATATCCCTTGTTAGCTTTTCATTGTCTGTGAGTTTTACAGGTGTAAGGCAGCAGAGAAGCATATAGACATGAACAGTTTCTTTTCATTCAGCATTAATACGATGTTCAAATAAGAAACTGCCTCTAGTTACACTTGAAAAGCCAATCAAATATTTGGAAATGATCAAATTTATCAATGGGTTCTACAAGTTGAAGTTATATATTTAAAGTAAAAGTGTATTTAAAATAAATATATAACATTGTAAAACATAACAATGCAAAAAATAGCAGTTTTGACAGTAAAACAGACCCAAGTTTTGAGGTTATTAAGCCATTATTCAATATGTTCAGAAAGTGGATTGGAACTAATGTGTCAAATCATCTTTTTAGTTTTTTTTTTAGCTAGAAAAAAGCTAACTACCATTTGGTACTGCATACACAGTGGCAAACTTAAAAGAAAAAAATCAAATATGCCTCAGCAGGATTTTTGGGGGGCTCCAGTTGTTCCCTCGATCAAAAGACATTTATAAATTCAAAATCCTGTTGACAAGCACTGCTAAAAACCCTTGTTTGAATAACTAAATAAACACCTTATTTAATTGAAAAAAAATGTTATGGTTGTGGTTTTTAGCGCATGCTCATTAGGGCTCAATGTCATTATTTCCTCTTTTTAAGAACACAAAGCTGAAAACAAACACGTTCATTTTGAAGTGTTTTAAGCCATTTTGCTCTTAAACTGACATCTACAAATTCTAGCCCCATACATACCAACTATATGCCTTGTTTTCTCAGTGGAAAACCTCATAAGTTTTTTGTTTGTTTGTTTGTTTGTTTGTTTGTTTGTTTGTTTGTTTGTTTGTTTGTTATCCAAATGTAGAAATTACATGATTACATCTGATACAAAAACATGTTTAAAAATCTCAAAATTATAATGGGAAACGTTCAAAACATATTTCACACATGTCACACATTTATTTAGCATCTTTCTGTGTTCATCTCTTTTTTTCTGTGGAAGAGAGAAGTAAATGCAACAGAAAAGTTGATTTTGCAAAACTGAGTTTGGGGTGAACATGACCTAATGACAGTAAAATGGACTGAGTGRGTTTGCACGGTTTGGAAGCCACACTAATGTCTTCAATCATTTCTAATAATTTCTTCCCCTCTGTTTTTCTCATTGTTCTGCAGAGGAAGAAATAATTGATGAAGTGGAGGACTTCTTCCTCGGCACTAACAGACAGTGCAGCCTACATTCAAGTGAGGAGGAAGACTTGGGGTTGTTTGTAGCCCTCAGGAGGAATTCAAGGTCAGTGAACAAAGTCTAGCTTTGTGTAAAGAGAGTGAGAGAGAGAATCTGCCTTTCTCCTGACTGTTAGTATAAAGTATTAAAAAGATAAGATCTGGGGAACAGGCTCCAGRACGTACATGAACAAATACAGGAGGATAAATGTGAGATTTTTTTTTCTTCTTTTAGATTTTTTTTGTCTAATTTTGTTATTTTCCTTTACTCTCCATTCTCCTTTTATCTTCCAGTTTCACAACTTTCTTTCAGAGTATTTTTGGACCATTCACCTAGTTTTGACTTACAAATCAAAACCCGGAGTGAACGCCAGAACCAGGAAGCAAACTTTACCAAAAGACACAGATGCATATTTACAAAACCAAACAGGAACCAGGCTCAAAATAACAGATCACTGAGGTTTAAAATAACCCAAGCCATAGTATATTTAACAGTTTCAAAAATGAAGCCAGAACACAAAACCAAAATAAAAACAACCTAACATTGAGTGCAAATCTAACAGACTGCAGACTGAAGTAATTTTGGTAAAGCAAATTATTAAAAAGGCTTAATTAAAAAAAAAAAAACATTGTTCATCTGTATTTGTTCTTTACTACTTTTGTTTTGTTTTTTTCTTTTTCCCCATCCTGATTTTTTAGTCTTATAGTCTATTTTTTAGTGATATAACTTATTTATCTCTCTCCTTTTGTTCTTTATTTCTTGTTCAGACTTATATTCTGCCGTAATGTTTCTTATACCCGAATAAAATCACTTATCAACTGTCCAAAACAAACATAATGTCTAAGGATTTATCCCCCCATGAAGTACACACACTGAGAAGAATTAGGATTTTAATTGCTTCCCTATAGATCTCTGGCTCACTAAAAAAATAATAAAAATAAAAAATGGGTTAATTGCATTAGTAGAGAGACACTTAGATTCAGTGTTGCCAGCTTAAGTTACTGCAGCGAGCACGCTCCAGAGTCGCACGTTATTTTGTCTCTGATATTTAAAAAAAAAAGTGATAACCTGGGTGTCTGGTTTTATGTAAAAGTTGACATAAGTTTCAAGAAGCTTTTAAAGTGACAGTCATGACAAGATCATGGCTGCTGTGCGTTTCCTCGTGTGTCATCGTCAGCAGAGCATCAGGCACTGCAGGTTCATCACAACACATGCTTTGAAATAAACACTATAAACAACATCAGAATATTCACTTCTTGTTTTTTTTCTCTGATTCCTCCCACTACTTATTCATTTTAAGAAGAGTTAAGCATTTATCTTTTTTCACATTTTATGAACTAAAGWGTCCTAGAAGAATTGAGAATAGCTATTGAACTGAACTATGTATCTCATTTTTTTATCATGATGTAAGAAAATTCGTATTCAATAAACTGAAGTCGATATTAAAAACACCATTGTTAAATAAAATGATTTGCAGAAGGAATCAAAACATACAACACCAGAATTCTGGATCTGAGTGAGGRTTATTGTCACTCAAGCTGACAGGAAATCAACACTCCCGAAAAACCAGGAAGTTCATCTATTTATGCAGGTTCTTCAATGCCTGCGTTCGCCCCCTACTGACCTACGGCTGAATCACAGGCATTCAGACAAAATCCTCAGCAAATGTCATCACAACGTTTAATTATGTGTTGTCACAGATATTTCGGACATGTAACTAATCTATTATCAATCAAAACATAATAGATTAAACACTGTCGACATTACAAAAAAGGAAAACCTAAGAATATAGTGTTGTGCTTTTAACATCAGTACAAACCTCTAACAACTTTAAATTTCTTCAATGAGATTAGGCTAACAGTCTGTTAAAAAAAACTATCATAAACACTTTAAACTCCAACTATTACTAAAGCTATTTTTGTATTTTTCATCWCATTCCTTTTTCATTAAAGCTGCAGTAGTTAACTTTTTTAAAAAGCATGTATTTCAAATATTTGTGTAAAACTGTCACTATGTCCTGACAGTAAAATATAGACAAATATAAGACAAAAACAAAGGGAGAATCTAAATGATATGCCTATTTTACAAGCCATGAGCAGATCCACAGCTTTTTTTTAATCCTCATCCTCCTCTTCCTCTTTTTACAGTCTGAATCTAATAATAAAAGCATCAACACCTGTGCTTGCTTATTATTCATTGTTGGACTGACATCTCTCCATCTCTTCGAGACATATGTTTTCTTTTGATGTGTTCTTGTGTCATGTGTTTGTGTCATAATTCCCTTGTGGCTACAGGTTCCACAGTTGAGTATGTAATAAGCCTAACTTCATACAAAGTGACAAAGGTTTCTGTCATGATTTTAGAATCCTGAGCGTGAGCTAGCCTTCAGACAGTTGTGCCCATAACAAACCTGGATCATACCACTGTGGTTATAAAAAGAAACATGAAAAAGGGGTAATGTGTAGCGAGGGCATTGTTATTTCCTACAATTATTACGAATATTTAAATACTGGCTGAAGAAACCATAAGACAGCTTGCTTTGTGTATTTTTTTCTGACTGAGCTTTGATGAGAAAATATTTAGAGAGTGACATCCTTGAAAAGCCTCCTACAGTGGCCGTTTAGGAACTTGTTCTAAAACTGTCACCATGCTTGACGAACAGTAGCACAAGCCTCAGGGATGCAGCACTACAGAGATCAATGGTTCTTGGGGCCCCACCATCTGTTTCTATCCAGAGATGCTTTCACTTGTGGTGCAGTTGCAGGCTGCAGTAGCTCAATGGTAATTGTTGTGATCTTGTAACATTGAGGTTACAGGTTTGAGCTCGGGGTATGTCGGGAAGGACATCCAGTGTTTAACAGTAGTCAAATCTTTCATGCTTGTTTGCTTGATTTGGTGACCCCTGAAGAAGGGAGTAGCTGAAACAACTACAGTGGGTTTTAGCTCTTGTGTAATGCTTTGTGATAGATGCACAGTAGGAGTTTGGAGAGGGAAGCTGTGATCACTTTGTCTCTGAGCATAAATGAACTTTGGAACACTGGGGGATATGAAATAGCTTTGTATCTTCATAATCTCTATTAAATAATTTAGTGATGTTGCACTCCCTGAGCTCTTTAGCACCTGCTACTCATCACCCCTCCCCTATCCCTGGCCAGAGGTTTGGAATCACTGTTTCAAGCTGATAATCTTGAAAGCATACTGTATGAAATATGTCCTAGCATGCTACTTCCACACTTCCAACCAACAGTGTTTTATTTTCTTTATTTTTTGTTACATATAACCAAAAGTATGCATTTTTTGGGTTTACACTGTGCTACATGCTGCATTTGTTTTGCTTGTTTGTTGACGAAGTATTCATTTGTTGCTGTTTCTTCTAATCTGTGGTATATAAAATAAATAATAAAATGTACACAGAATTGGAATTATTATAAATATGTGTGTGTGTGTGTATAGTTTCCCTGGGAGGGGTGGGTGGCTCGTCATCTCAAGCTCTGGTCCAATACCGAAGGCCTGGGAGCTTGAGGGTTCTTTGCAGAGCCTTAGCTGTTAGGACTGCACTTTTCTTGACTGAGATGTCAGATGTTTCTTCAGGTATCTGTTGAAGCCACTTCTGGGGTCCAAGTAGAGTTGCCTTCACCTGCCAGCTTCTTTCTAGCTCTTCACTGAGCCCTTGGTATTTCTCCAGTTTCTCGTGTTCCTTTCCCCTGGTGTTTCCATCATTGGGGATGGCCACATCAATCACAATGGCTGTRCTRTGCTGCTTATCAATGATCACAGTGTCAGGTTGGGTGGTCATTACCATCTTGTCTGTTGAATCTTGAAGACKRACAGGATCTTAGCTCYGTTATTCTCCACCATCTTGGGAGGTGATTCCCACTTTGACCTAGGGTTCTCCAGATTGTACTCTGCACAGATGTTTCTGGACACTATAACAGCCACTTGGTTATGGTGTCCCATGTATTCCTTTCCTACTAGTATCTTACAACKTGTTGTTAGTTGCTGTATTGTTTCTGGGGATTCTTTGTACAGCCTGCACCTGGGATCTTGCCTGGTATGGTAGATCTGTGTGGACATCAGGATGGCCTGTTCTGTTTAAGTTTTTAAAGCTAAGCTAAAAARCCACTTGTTTTCACTGTCTTATGCCTTTTAACTTTTACATTTACAGTTTTATTACTGATATTTTAATCTATTCTTAGAACATTTTTACTTTGGTTTATTTGTTGTTGTTTTTTTTTTTTTGGAATTGTTCAGCGCTTTTTTCAGCTCTTGTACTCAATATGTACTATTGTGCTGCCATGAGTGCTTCTGTGTGGTACTTCAGCCCTGCCCTCACCAGCCATTGGTATGATTTAGTCATATCAGTCACTCCAGCTATTTGTCAGAGGTGCATCCCATGCAGGGTTTTTGTTAAGCCAGAAAAAAATGGTGACAATTAAATCTTCACTTAATCTCAGAGGCTGACTGACAATAAACTCAGACTTCGTGTTTGTCTCAGCTTTAGAGTTATTGTATAATTGCGTCACTAAAATTTAAAACATTCATTATATTTTTACTTCAGAAGTTCAGTTGCTTCACACCACACAAAGGTCTTGTAAAGTAATAATAATAATAAACAAATTATTAGCAGAACTGTTTTTACTGCTGTGGCTCTCCTGTGGTGCAGTTTATACGTACTTCAGCAGAAATTGGTTAATTAACTTGGGCTAATTATTCCACTGATGACAGTGATTCCACTAAAATAGATAAATTTAGTTCTTTTAGATGCTGGGGATAAAATGCTGGAAAGGTTACAGAACAGAAGGAACATGAAAATCACTTGGCATCTAAGAGTTCACATCATTCCTGCATAATTATCCTCTGTATAGACAAACACGAAATTAAAACCGAAGCTAAATGAGCTAATTGTATAGTATGTGTTAGTTCATTAATACTTTAGCTCATTAACAAGTAAAAACTGGCAATAATCATTTTTTAATTAGCAGAATCAGTAGAGTGTGATTTTACCACTGAATTTGTTTAATTATGACCAATGAACTTTGAGGTTTTAAAACTTGTAGGGGTTAATA